AATATTCAGTGATAATAGACAGAAGAAAAATATCCTTCATCAACCCCTTAACTCAGCCTCCTCCCACCCACTCACCGACTGTAGCCAGGTGCAGGTTCCAGGCGTCTTCCATGGAGGTGATGGTCGCTCTCAGGGCCTTTCCGCCCCGCTCCGACGTGCTCAGGGCGACCTTCTCCCCCAGGGTCCGGAGCTCGATCAGTTTCTTGTCTCCCAAACCGTGTACTGTGTCCAGGTCCTGCATAGGGAGGTGGGAGTGAAGGGAAGGGAGAGAAATAGAAGAACGGGGGATAAAGGGAGTAGAGAGATTGGGGAGAAATAAGAGGGGGAGAACGGGAGATGAAGGGAGAGAAGGGAAATAGGGAAAGAAGGACGAAGAAGGGAACAGAGAGAAAGGAGAGAGGGAGGGAGTGACAGGAAATAGACAGAGGAAAAATGAATAAAGGGAAGGAAAGGAGTAAAGAGAGCAGGAGGAAGGAGTAAAAGGCAAGAAGAAGAGGTGGAAGGGACAGAGAGGGCAGGGGAGAGGAGAGAGGAAGAGAAAGACGAGGGAGAGTAGGAGATCAAAGGAGATAGTAAGACAGAGGTAAAAGATATTTAGACAGAGAAAGAAAGGGGAAGATTGGTAAATAGAAAAAGCGAGATAGAAGGGGAGGGATAAGATAAGAAATTAGTAAAGCTCATATTTATATTTTCATCATAATTAGCATCAAAGTTTCGTAGTTATATAATGAGAATAATAACAACAAACAACGAATATAAAAGCGAAAAACATCGTGTTTCTATTCTATCTCGTGTCCATAGCTTTATCAGCGGTGCGTCTATGCCTATTTTCTATTTTTTTTTGTTTTTGTTTTAGCGAAACTAGCTGCTTTATATTTGTTGTGTTCTCGTGATAGCAAGCTCTCTTTCTGCTCTCTCTCTCTCTCTCACACAAATACACTGACACGCATGCACACACACACACACACACACACACACACACACACACACACACACACACACACACACACACACACACACACACACACACAACAACAAAACGCTAAATCAAACACATCTGGTGTTCTGTATTCTTTAACTAAAGCTAAAACCATGTCCGCTGTTTCTTGTTTTATTTATATCTGAGAAATTCTGTGGAAAGAATGAAAATGACACAACAAAATAATTTCCATTTTGAAACCTTGTACAAAGGGCATTCAACATGCAAAGCCAGTATTATTCTGACTGATCCCGAACTTAATCTATAGGGTGTTGTCAATCATCGTTTTAAAAGGAAGGCAAATAACGATATTGGTTTTAGAGGGTTTGAAAGAAGGGGTTTGGGATTTTTCTAGTAACAATGGCGGAAGGATCAGTGTTTTCATGGTATTTCTTTAATTCTAGAGATTCTGAAGTCTCGAAAAAAAACATTGTTCACTCTTCGTGTTTTAAAATCAACCAAAAGAAATGTAATCGTCTCCAGAAAGGGGAAGAGTAAAACAAATAATAAACAGAAGAGAAATGGTGGTGTCTCTGATGTAGTATCGTATGGGTGTGGAAGCCTCTGCAAACGCATCAGCAGACATTCTCCACCCTGAAAAGCAGTGCCGTGTAAAATGTTGCCTGACTCTACAGAAGCAGATGGTGCTTTCAGGAAGTTTCGGGGCGAAGAAAGAGATATTTTGTATCTTTAGCAACCGAAAGAATCGCAAATGCATTTCCTGTACCGTTGCTATATGAAACGTACCAATAGACATTGATACTATGAATAATTAATTACTTTCTCATTATTGTTCTAGACTTTGACTCAGCTATTTAACAAACTTCCTGTGCGCACGCTGGCGGAGGCCTTCCTCGCTATCGTCAGAGAGGGCGGGAAGACCAGAGGAAGCCTAAACCACGGCCACTCGCAGGTGCCGGCATGAGGGGGACCTAGGGAAGGGGCGATGGGGAAGCGAGAGGGCGGGGCGATAACTATCGGGGTAAAAGTTAACACTAGGGGGTCAGGACATGCAATCCCGGCACACTTGTTACCTTGGCAACGATAAGTGTCACTGGAACAAGTTGTGAACAGGTGTTTAGTTCAGTTTCTACCCTCTGGAAGAAAGAGTTACATCGCTTGCTATTTATACATTTAAAAAAGAAACAACGGAAGACTTGTAGTTTCGACATGAACTATTGTTACGAAGATTAACAGAAAAACTAGGCTATTTCAATAAGGTTCAGTTACCTGCATGCAACGCAAAATGATTTAATAAATAATGAGAGAAAAGATTGTCTAATGAATTAGAATCTCTAATTTAGTCACAAATTAAGTTCATTAAAGAGATAGATAGAAGAAAAAATGGAGTTAATAAGAATATCATACAGAAATTATTTACCTTAAGATTATCCAGTTTCTTGGTAAGGTCTGACTTCTCGCCAGACACATCAGCACACAGATGAAGCTGATCTCGCTGCAGGTTAAGCCAGTCCCCAAAACTCTTGCAGAGAGTATTGAACTGAGCATGGTCCTGCACACACAAGTCCAGTTTATCTAGCAGGTCACGGCTCTTGAGAACGATGTTATGGAATAGTGTCTTGATGGAGTGAATGTACACATTAAGGGTCTTGTCCTGGGTCTGGTTGACAAGGGTTTGGGCCTTCTCACACACCATCTCCACCAGACTCTGGTGGGCTTGAATCTCCTGGTGGACAAGGCGATGGTTCTGCAATTGTGCAGTCTTCTCTTGCAGCGAGCTTTTCAGCTCGGTATGCTGTTGCATAGCAATCTCAACATCACGCAGCCAACGGGTCAGCTGTTCTTGAGCACCAGAAAAATCGGAGAATTGCTGTAAACACTGATCAAGTGTGAGTCCAGCATTGGTGACTGAATCACACCAGGATTCCCAGCGCTCACGCAGCTCTCGCAGCATCTGCCGAATGTTTTCACGGCCGTCGGGAGCTGTGTGAGCATACAGTCTTTCACCCAACTCCAATACAGCATCAACCTTGTTGGCCTGACTTGACTTGAGTTCTATTAACTGTTCAACTTTGTTGCGTCGCATCTGCAGGATCTTCATGTCGCCCACCACCTCTGCATGTTCACGCAAATCAAGGTCTACTGCCTCTACCCACTCCAGGCACTCCTGATACTTTTCGAGGAAGGAACGATGCTCTCGGATGAACATCTCATAACGACTCATCATTTCCTTCAGAACATTTTTAAGTGCTTGGTAGCGAGAAGACAACTGGGAGATCTGGACAGCATGTTTCCCCTCATTGTCCATGCTCTGGGCCTGGGTCAGAGCATCATTGATCTCAGGAGCCTTTTTGACAATCTCCTCTTCCAACTTACGGAGGCGGTCAAGATGAGCTTCCTTTGCATCAAGATTGCTCTTGAGAGACTGATCCTTGACTTTGGTTTCAATGCTCTTGAGCCAGTCTCTCAGTGCCTGTACCACTTCTTCACACTCATTGTACTGAGACATGATGCCGTCAACTTTTCTCTTACCATCTGCAATTTCAGACTGAAGGTTTCGCCAGCTCCTTTCTTGGCTCTCTAGATCTGCTATGATGGAAGCATGCCCTGAAGCATCTGTGTTTTTCAGAGTCAGCTGTAGACTCTCGCTACAGAGATCAAATAGGCACTGACCCTCTGCCTCACCCAGTTCGAGGGTATCTAGGATACTCATCTTCATTTCAACATCACTGCTTTCTGGTGACACATCAGCACACAATGCAAGCTCAGCCTTCTGTGAAGTGAGCCAATCACGGAATTTTTCTGTGTTATGCAAGAAGCTCTCATGATGTTGGATGATCTCCTCACACCGTCCAATCCTCTGCTGTGTTGTTACAGCTAACTCTCGATATTGGTCGATCATGTCATCTACTGTCTTTGATGTCTCATCATCGGTTAAGAACTCAATCTTCTCCTTCAGTCCATATATCATGCTCTCGTGAGAGTTGATGTCCTGATACACAGACTTATATTGCTGTAACTGAGCCTTCTTGTCAGATAAAGTTGGTTTCAGGTCGAACTCTGTTCCTGCCCGTCTCTTTATCTCCTCCAGCCATTTCGAAGCTTGAGTGAAATTGTCATCAAAGGAAGACCATTGCATAATAATTCCCTCCACACGTTTATACAGATGATTGACCCTATCCAGATGAGCCTCCCATGTATCCCTAAGAGTGCGCAGGTCTGTTCTGATCTGTTCACGGCCCTCTGGAGTAATGGCTGAGAAGAGGGCCTCACCGTGTTCAACAACAGCATTGAGGAGCTGCTGTCCATTTTTCTTCTCTTCCACAAAGGACTTGAGGCTTTGCAGTTTTGACTGGTATGCCAGAGTAGGCTTTCCTCCACTACTTGTCATCATTTCGAAGGACTGGAGTTTCTCTTCTGCATCCTTCAGCCATTCTTCCATCTTCTCAATTGTCTCTGAATACAACTTTTGATCACTTGTCAACTGATTTAATTTGTTAAGGAATGTATTGCAGAATTTGACAAGGGCTTGAACCCTATTCTTCAACTGGGTGGCATACTCTTTGGCCCTACATTCAGGATTGACTTCCATCAGCTCTTCAGTTTTCTCCATGAGTTCACAGACCTCATCATCATGGCCATTGACTTCTTCGAGGAGATTCTCGGTTTCTTCAATCTTTTCTTGGACCATTGTCATGTCAATCTGATTCATGGTATCAGTACGTACACGGGCCTCAACCTCACGTAACCAAGAGCTCAAATTTTCGGTCATGAGTTCATACTGTTGCCACAGTTCTAACAGGCGAGTGAGTGACACATGACACTCCTCTAAGCGTGTGCTTAGTTCTTCCATTTCAGAGACAGTTGTTTCACATTCCTCTTGGATGGCTTCACGCTGGTCAGCAGACACAACTTTTTCAAACAGCTCCCGGCATTTTTCGAGGTCTTGTCTCTTCGCATGACCTAACTTGAGGCTTGACTTGACGTCAGACAGAGCAGAGATTTTGGCTTCCACACCATACCTATCACTGCCTGGCTCAGCCTGACACCAAACAATTTTTTCTTGGTGGACAGACAAAAACCTCTGCATATCTGAAAGTCTGTCTCGGTAATGTTTTTCAATAACATATTGGAGACTCTTGCATGCCTTAGCAGTTTGTCCAATAAGTCCCTCATATTTCCTTTGCAGTGCAGTAAATTCTTTAACAAGCTTACTTGGTTCAAAACCTTTAAATCCTGCTTTTAGTTCTTCAATGTTAGTTCTAACTTCCTTGATCTTATCATCATATTCTTGTAATTCCCCTTCAATCTTCCTGGCAATTTCTAAGCGAACCAAGATCTTCTTATCATCTCCAGTAATGTCTTCACACTTCATCAAACGATCACGAATCTGAGACAGAGACTCACTGAGATCCCTAATATCCTCATATACTGATGTTTCCTGCTCCTTCATTTCATCAAGATAAGCGCCGAGTTTGGAGGCAACTGCCTCAGTCTGTTCAAACTCAGCTGTCACAGTGCTGAGGATTTCCTCAATCCTTGCCAAGGAGGATGAGTTGTTTAGGGACTCCAGTTGCTTGGCACTGCTCTGAAGCCCACGGAAGAGACTTTCATAGTTTGAAAGCTCGTTCTTATATTTCTCCAATTTCTCTGCAGCTGCTTCTGTTTCGTGTGTGATCTGTGTCTCATCTAGAGCTTCACAAGTATCACTGAGCCAGGTGAGGATCTCATCTCGACCTTGGAGAATTTGTTTCCAGAGCACCAGCTGACCTTCTAGGTTCTGTGAGCGTTGATTAAGGAAGTCCATCATACTCTGCCATTTATTTTGAGTCTCCTGGGATTGTTTTCTCACATCAGCAGAAGTAAAGCCCTTTTCACTGTCGAGTTGTTGGCTCAGATGTTGAGACTTGGAAATAAAACTTTCTAGCTGCGGTCTAGTTCTGCGCAATGCATCAATGGTTTTCTTGCAAAGGTTCATCATACTCTGAGCAACATTTGCTTCTGATGGAACACCATCCAGCTTGTCACTATTACGATGAGCCTCAGCAATTGCAGCTTGTAAGTATTCACGCCCATCTGTGCACTGCCTCCAAAGGGAAGTGATACTTGTGAACTTGGTCTGCATTTCATACAGCATATTCTGCACACGGTCCCAGTTCCCATCTGCGGCTGTGAGGGCATTTTGTACAGAGACTAGTTGGGTGGAGTCACTAGACATGAGAGCACGTCCCAAGTCATGTAACTTGTCCTTCATCTTGCCTTGTGACTGCATCTCCTGCAGTGCACCCTCAACAGCTTCTGATAAGTGCTGCACACCTGTATAGGTGCTCTGCATCAACTCCTTATCAGTGACTCTCTTTGTAATGCCATCCAAGAACTCACTTAGTTGATTCTTGACACGATGGAAAGCTTCCCATTGACTATTCACTGCTTGCAGTTGATCTTGTCGGTTGTCAAGGTTGCTTTCCAAAGAATCCATCCTCTTCCTGAACTCCTGAACTTTAGTTTCAATGTCAATAGCAGATCCAGTGTCGGGATCTCTAATGGTTGTTGAGCTTTTTCTACACAAGTCCATAATGTATGATGCTTCATCTTCCCATGAACGGCACTGTTCACGAAGATTCATTAATTCTTTCCTCATCTGCTCTAAATCATTAAGATTGGGTTTGGCATCAATCTGTTGACTAATGCTCTTCATGGCATCATCAGTATTGCTCTGCCACTCCCAGAAGTCACGCCACTTAAGAATGGCAGGTTTCTTGGACTGAACTACCTGCCCGTAGTTCTCAAAACGAGCTTCTGCATCATCAAACTGTGTAAAGAGATCTTCACGATCTCGGCCTGTGCATCGATCCCCAACATCACGACATTCTTCGGCCAGCGATGTCACTTCACTCTGCTTCTCATCATGTTCCTGCTGCAGGCGATGCACCAAGTCTGGACTCCCATCTAATTCATCAACATCAATATCTTCCAGTTCATCTAAATGATTACTGAAGCCATTAAGCCAGGTTTCTAGCTTCTCTACCTTGGCAAGGAATTCTTGTCGAATAACCATGACATCTGACAGCTCATTCTTCAACTTCCTTATTTCATCTCCCAATTTTGAGATCATAGACTTCAGCTCACTTACTGTCGACTTGACAGAGGCACTTCCTTCTGGACCCATCCCTGAAGAAATGTGGTCTCCAATAGCAGTCAGGTTGATGAGATCTGTCTGCTTTTCTGCCAGTTCCTTGTCCATGTCCTTCAAGTTGTTGACTCGATCTTCGAGTCGTAAAACAGTGGGAGCATATTCAGTGACTGTCTCCATTCGTTCTTCAATCTGATGGACCCATGAGGATACAGCATCACATTTGTAGTTGAAATCTTCCCATTCAGCCAAGAGAGACTCTGTCCTTTCACTCCATTGAAGTGCTACATCATGAACAGCAGTCCACCTTGAATGGTAAGCATCAACTTCATCAACTACTGAACAAATTCGTGCAACTTGAGCACTTTTGCTAGACAGTGTGCGAAGTTTCTCCAAATAGTCATCACACTCTTTTTCAAATTCTTTTGCTGTGTCTTGTGCTTGTATGGCTTCTTGCATGGAATTTGGTCTTGCCATGCCCACAGCCACTTTTGTTTCTGCATTTTCTAGCCATGGTCTGATCTCCTGCACACCTACTTGGTATTCTTGCCAGTGAGTGAGGTCATGTTGGACAGTCTCAAAGTGTTTTTCTGTGTGCTTATTAAGTGTTAACAAACTTGTCTTTATGTCACCAAGTTCACCAGTAAACTGAACTGCTTCAGTAGATGGTTCACCCTCCATCAACTCTTCAACTTCATCCTCCAGTGTTTTTATGACAGCCATCTTCTGGTTGATCTTTGCTCGGAGGTCAATAGTCTGATTCTGTCGGTCTTCTGGTGACATCTCAAGAGTAACTAAACGTTCTAACACATTCTGGGCATTAACTAACCATGATTTCATCTCTTGCAAAGTGCCTGTAAAGTGGATCCACTTTATGTTCAGCTGCTCCAGGTATTCAATCTTCTGTGAGACTGTATCAATGACTGTTTGCATGCGTTGTTCAATTTCAACAACTTCTTTCTCAAGCACAGGTTTCTTCTCTGGATCAGCAAGTCTGACAAGATTGGAGGAATGGCTGTGCAACTTTCGCAGCATCTGGTCTGTGGTCTCATTCAGGTGCTCGTTCATTTCCTGTTTGCTGCTCAGCTCATTGGCCACCTCCTGTGGGTTGCAGCGACTGATCACGTTAGACAGCTCGAGCTCTGCTTGTGCCATGAGCTTAAGGATCTCGTTCTTCTGTTCAGTGTAGTCTGACCAGACCTTCTGTGTGTTCTTGAGCTTATTGAGTTTCTCTACAGAACCGTTGTAGGCTTCAGTCCACTTAGCTTCAAGAGTCTGCAACATAGCACTGACAAAGAGTGGTGCATTGTGATCTCTGGAGAGGTCTTTGCCCCGCTGAATGGTAGTGAAAATGTTATCTCTCTGGTTTTCGAGTTGGTTCACCATTACCTCCCGCTCACGAATCAGCTGCGTCAGAGATTCGAGGGTCTCTGGGTGAACGTCCTCCTCGCAGTGCTTCCTCACGTCTTCCAGAGTACCCACCACCTTATCAATATCTTCTCGATAGTGGTAGCACTTGGCGTAAGTCTCTGTTCGCACCAAAGCAGCTTCAATGGTGGGTACGAGCGCTTTGTAACGAGCGATGAGGGACTCGAGCTTCTGTTGCTCATACTGACCGTCCTCCTCCGGGATGTGGGTGATCAGGGAGTCCAGCATCTGCACCAGCCACTTCATGGACTCGCGGCGACTCTCCAGGTCCCCACACATAGTCTATTGAGAAAAGAAAGTAAGGAAAAAACTAATTTATAGTGATTAAAAGATTAATTCAATTTCAGATAGCAATCCAACGACGAAGAACGTATGTTACCTCCTCTACTTATTTTACAATTCAGTGAAACAGAAGTATGCAAAAGGTACATCAAAATCCATACCACAAATCTGTCTTTCAGTTCTTCATAGGCTTGAGCATTTGAAGCTTCCTTGTTGATACCCTTCAGGCAGTCATTGACACCATCCATCCAGGCAACTGTCTCTTCCACTCTGTGGAAATAATATGCATAGTTTGATAATCATTATTTACTTCAAAAGAGCACATCACAAAAGCAATAAGAAGCGAACGGTCTAACCTTCGCGAAACAGAGGAACTTTAGGAAATGAAAAAAAAAATATATAATAAGAATAACGTGAAAAGAATGAAAAAGAAATAAATAGAAAACGGAACAGAAACAAAAAACAGCACCACGGACCTCCATACACAAAAAGAAAACAAAACAAAATAATGCTTAAAAAGAAAAAAAAGAAATCTTACATTCATATCAATAAACGAAATCATTGAAAAGAAAGAAAAAAACTCACTTAGATTCGTATTCCCTCCAGCGTTCGGGAATCTGGTCGAGCTGAGACGCCATGGTGCCGACGCGGGTCTGGAGCTCGAGCCACTGAGCTGTGCACTTCTGGCAGTCTTCGATCAGGTTTTTGTCATTCTTCTGCATGAATGGGGGTGATATATAGACAGTTTCTTATGTATATGTGCTGTTTATAAGGTAACATAGTAGTATGTTAAAAGAGACATGTACAGTATTTCAGAAGTGTACAGGATATATATTACCCATCATAACACCTATAATCATAAATGAGCATTTTATACGTTTACACCTGTATTGCTTTTCGTTTACCGTAATCAATATATTTTATAAGTAATTATACAGAGTAGAAAACATCATTTTATTAACTTACCTTGCTTCCATATTCTCGACTGGTGACGTCCATGTTATCAAGAATCTCCTCAATACGGGAAATTAATTCTTCAGCGAAGAATTCCTATCGAAAATAAAAATTAAAGCTCTGTCCTTTAAAGTGACTTAATTTCACTATGTAGAGCAAATATCGCGAATGCATATATAGGGATAAGATTTGGAAATACAAAACTCAAACATCAAATGCAAAAATATTAAATTCCGTATACGATTGATATATTTCCCTGGAGA